TCTCTCTCTCTCTCTCTCTCTCTCTCCCTCTCTCTCTCTCTCTCCCCATCTCACCCTCCCTCTCTTCCACCACTTGCCAAATAACTAACTCTTCACCCCTCACTTGTTACATTGCCAGGGAACGAACGGTGAAAATAACTTGTCCTCACTTGGCGGAGAAAGTGGGCAAGGGAAGGGTTGCCGGTCCCTTGTGCCGCCGAGAAGGAAAAAGGGAGAGACACGTGAGCAATTGAGAGGAGTCCAGTCCGGGAAAAAGGACTAGACCAAGTTGGTACTTAAGACGAGGCCAGTTTGACTCAACCATTTCCCCGACTGCATGACTATGAGAAGAGGATGGACTGCTTGAGCAAAGGAAAGAGAACGAAGAGAAGCCAAAGGAAATGAACCTTAGGCATGCGGGAAGGCCTATGTGTTGACCCCAATGGGGGATTGTGTCGGTCTTTGCTTTTGTGTGGGGTTGTGCAGGTAAGTGAAGTTTTGGGATGCCTTGAGCGGGACCGGGCTGGGAGAAACCGGGCGGCAAAGAGGCTACGGGGACCCTTAGTGTAAAACCGAACCGTGAGAGAGGCCTGTGTGCATAAGCCTTGGAGTGTGAATGAAAGAAAGGAGTGCGACTTTTGTTGATCGGAATGTGAAGTAGCCTGTGCATGCGTGTAAAGGCCTCGAAAAGACTAAGGGGCCTGCTCCAATAATGACGGAATAATGTACGAGACTCGAGGAGGGCGTAGAGGCGAGGGGGTAGACGACATTGCCGCACCCCACCGTAGGATTGCAATGCTTTGGAAAATGGTGCGTGGCCTAAGGATGACGCTTAGCCTGCACACAAGAGATGAAGAACTCTCAAAGAACCTCTGGAATGCCTGCGTATTGGAAGGAGCATTTGCTTGACAACACAACCAAGAATCAAAAAAAAAATCGGCGTTTGCGAAACGACCAGCGAGACTACCACCCGGCGTGAGGGCTGAGCTACATCCCCAATGTCAAAGCTCTCTCACGCGATGGCCCACCCCCATCCATCTCAAAGCACTAGGTGGGGGTGACCCTGGGACGAACGGCCCGCGCCCTGAGCATGAGCGTGGGCGGGGAGAGCCAACTGGGACCCGCAGTGGGGTCGACCAAGGCTCGAAAGTCTACCGGGGTTTGGCCCCACAACGGGGCCAGAGGAATGATCTTTGACATAAAAGAGATTGCGGACGGTTTGTTGTGGCAAGAAAACAGCATCATTATGCAAGAAATCTACATCAGTCATGGCATGGACCATGGTGCCATTGTCCCACAGCTCCAGTGGTCAAAGGCATGTACAATGGCCATGTAATGGCCAGGTCCGTGCACAATGCAGGCAGAGATGTGGGATGGAGGATTAAACCACTCACCTGCTCGAGCACTGTGTAGTTCAAGTTGACGGTCCCTCATTGCTACTTGCAGGACAGCAAATGGTAAATCCTCTGGCTGTAGTTGGGGAAGATCGGCATCAAGCTGAAGGGCGATTGCAAGGAAGTCTGCTGGTGTGTAAAATGGGCGGTGGAGAATGTAAAGACATATATTAGTTGCCTTCAGACCACAAAGATTGGTGAGGTTCTCAGGCTGGTGTATTGGCTGCTGGCCAACAATTTGCAGATCACCCAGATGATGTTGCAAGTCCACATGTATTTGGTTGTTTGCTGGTCAGTCATTTGCAGATCATCCATGTGGTCTGCGGGTGGCGTGATAGAAATTTGCGGTTCATCCGAACATTTCTGGTTAGCGATTTGCAGATCCCCCATGTGGTCTACGCCTTGTGGTGTCAACTGCAATCCAGGTAGATCATGTTCCAATCCCTCAACGTTCAGGGCCGCATCCGGAGTAGAGACTATCCCTGGAGTTGGGAGAGCGGATGTAGCCATTTGGGACAAAGGAACCGCACCAACCTGTGGAGCAGGCACAAAGCGAATCGGGGTAGACAAAGAAACAGGCTGCTGATCCCTGGACAAGTGACGATGCCGCGCATGTCATCGCCGATACACAATAAGAGGTGGGGTGGTGTTGCAAACAGAAGATGAGGATGTCCTCGGCAATGAAGGCGGAACAATGGGAACAATGGGAACTGGAGAATTTGTTCTCAAACGAGACCGTGAAGGGGATGCAGGTGGCGAGAAGGAATGCAGCCGTCTGTGGCCAAGCACAGAAAGGGATGAAAGGGGGTTGGATTGGGCAAGATTTCGAAATATGGGACGCGAGTGTCGGAGAGACTGTGAGCTCTTTGTAGCAACAAAAAGCATAGTACGCGGAATTCCAGCCACGCAGCAGAGGAGGTTACAGCAGGGACTGCAGCAGAGGCAACTTCCGTAGCAGAAACTGCCGGAGTGAAAACCGGAGCTGCAGAGACTGCAGCAGTGGAAACAGCACCAGCAGAAACTGCAACAGTGGAAACCGCAGCAGTGCAAACCACAGCAGTGGAAACTGCAGATGAACAAGCAGGGACAGCACGAGAGCCACGTGGGGGCAAAGAAGGTGGATGATGCAGGGACCATCGCAACATGCGTCGCAACCATTGAGAGAGACGCGTCACATGCGTAGGATAGCGACGTTGGCGGGAGCGCATGAACAGGTCCACCCTTTAGCAAGGGTTGGTGGGGAATGCCCACGAGAAAGCATGTGACGGGTAAGTAACCCCAGCAGTGCAAACCACAGCAGTGGAAACTGCAGATGAACAAGCAGGGACAGCACGAGAGCCACGTGGGGGCAAGGAAGAAGGAGGATGATGCAGGGACCATCGCAACATACGTCACAACCACTGAGAGAGACGCGTCACATGCGTAGGATAGCGACGCTGGCGGGAGTGCATGTAGCAGGTCCACCCTTTAGCAAGGGTTGGTGGGGAATTCCCACGAGAAAGCATGCGACGGGTAAGTATTGTAGCTGCAGTTCAGAAGTCATGCCAATTGTTACAGATTTGTTCAATTGCCCAGTGAACACAACTGCCGGTTGATGGGAAGGGACGTTGGAGGTGGCACCTGGATAGCGAATGGCAGGGAAATCCCAGGTATCTGCTTCATCAAACACACCCATGTGAAGCGATCCATCAGATCGTACCTGTAGATGTATACCTAAAAAGGTAAATGGGCCATCTGTCGCAGTAGTTTCCTTCCACTCAAGCCCATAGTGTTCTAAAGGAGGAGGTAATTGCCCCCATGAAAGAACATCATCAATGAGGCGATAAGTGAAGGCGTATTGCTGAGCGGCTTGGAGATCATGTTGACAAATGTCATTAACAAAGTGTGCTTCATCCCAATAGGCCAGCAGTTGTTCCCATTGAATAACAACGATTTGCTTTTGAAGATGGTCATCTCGAGTATACAGGAAAGTGTTTTGTACAACAAAGCGAAGATGTTGGAGAATCTGAGAAACGGAAAGGGTGTCCATGCCTGAATTGGTTGTCCATTGGCTAGAGCAAGGTCCTCGAATAACCATGTTCAGGACTCTATAGCGTGAATGTGTGCGAGTATGCTGAAGGGCATAAGCATGGGCTTCATCAACAGCTTTTGCCACATTATTCAGAATGCGGTCATGAGGACGGTTGGTGTACATGGTGGTAAAATCAACCGTGCGAGGAGAGAGGCCCCAAAGAAGGATGCATCGTTTTTCAGGTCAATTGCCACCTCATCGGCACTCTGGACGATCCAGCATCGTCGAACACCAACCTGTTGATAGAGCTCAGTGTCTTTCTCGTGAAGAGTGGAGATCACTCCTTGCAAAGCAGCGCTGAGATACGACGACGTAGTTGTTGTGCTAGCCAAGGGTTTGTGAGGAGGCCATTAATGAATGGTGCGAATTGTAGGACGAGGGCTAGCGCGTGGGGGGACAGCACTGTTATTTTGTGCCGTGACTCCAAGAATGCTGCAAAGAGCTAGAGGAGACTTCTGAGCTTTGAGCACATAGTAAACGTAAGGCAGGGTATCAGTGTGGGTGTCATATTGCATGGTGGTCAAGGACATCAGCAACGGACTCATGGGCACGAGTATAAGTGGGACCGTCCACACACAGAGACGGACACTGAGAGAGAGAGAGAGAGAGAGAGAGAGAGAGAGAGAGAGAGAGAGAGAGAGAGAGAG